TCCTCCCCCCCGGGAAGTTTCTCAGCAGATTTGGGCTGTACTTAGCCCCGAGGTCGCCAATGAATGAGGCCGCCAGACACGAGGTCGCCAAAACAACGGTCCCTTCCCAAAATGACACAAAAAAGTTAAAAAAACAAACAACATTAAAAAAAAATAAAAAAATGTCTGCACCCCCCCAAACTGTCCAGGGTTGCATACCTGCCGACTGCCGACCGCAACTGCCGACTGTTTTGCGGCCGATCAGTAGGGCCTACCGGTCGGCGGTCTGCCGACCAGTCAGAAAACAGCCATACTGATTTTTTTTCACATCTGAGCTGGGGGCTGTACTGCGCTTGCTTAGTACCTGTCTCTTATACACATCTAGATGTGTATAAGAGACAGGTCCAGGCCCCAATAGTTTAGAGTCTTAGGGCCTGTAGGATCAGACACCGTAGGTCGGTAGGCTACAGTACCATACAGTACCGGTAGGAGCACGTCAAGTCCCCAAAAGTACAATTTTGCAGCAGCCTCGCAAGAAAGTCGGGAAATTTCCCAAAAAAGCAAATGGCAAGGCAGAGGCTGAAGGAGGCCAGTACCAATTGAAGCAGGCACGAAACAGTCGACTACAACTATATATCTTGGCCTACAGTGCCGGAGACAGTCAGTTGTTCATTTCACAAATTTGTGGAAGCGCTGCTGGGAGCTTGTCCAGACTAGCGACCTGTACGAAGAAGAACGTTGAAGGGAGGAAGAAGACCAGCACCCTGGCTGCGACAGACCACCATAGCCAGGAGGGAGGAGACGAAGTGTTTGGCGTCCGTAACCACCCGTTTGCAGTGAGACACACCGCAGAGGCATTCAGGGTAGATCTGGGACATTGTAGAGAGAGGAACAGTGAGCGAGGAACAGTGCAAGTGAAAGAGAGAGAGAAGTGGAGTTTAGAAAGAGAGCGAGAGAGAGAGAGAGAAGAAGAATAAGGAGGAGGGAGTCAGGTACATACCTGAGGATTGTTGCAGTGGTTGAAACCGCTTCTTCCCGAACTTTTTCAAGTGTATATTATTGTGCTTTGAGTGGAACTTCGAATTTGCACTGTTCATGGACACCGCTCAAGCTTGTGTGAACGTCATCTAATGTTCTCAATTGCATGTTGTATTTTGAGTTGAATCTTTCGAGGTTCATTGCAATAGGGGGGTTATAGGGGGTTGTAGGGAGGTATAGGGGGGTGTAGGGTTGGTATAGGGGGTATGGGGGGGGGGTATGAGGG